AGGGCCGAAACGGCCCAACGGGCCTTTTTTTTTTTTTTTTTTTCATTTGGTTTCGTTGTTTTTTTTCGCGCGACCCGCAACGTCGGACAAAGGAAAAAAATATATAGGTGTGTAGGGTTTTTTCAGCACTGCACGCCCTTTTTTTTTTTTTTTTTTTTTTTCGCAAAAATATGCGAAAAAAAATCCTGCACCAAACTCGGCTGGTGGGCCGTGGCCGAACCCGGCCGATTCGGCCGACGGCCAATTTTTCGGTCGCGGCCGTGACTGGGCGTGCAACATAGCTTTCATCTCCTTCTCTGATAAACACGACGTTGCGAGGCGCACTGTGTACCCTCTTTTGCACTTTCTTGCATCTGTTGTTGTAATTTGCACTGCACACGACAATCACAACGAATACGACATTGATGGGGGTTCAAAAAACGGCGGCCAGGGGGAGGGGGGGAACGGGGAGGGAAGGGGGGTGAGATACTTGTCCCCTGTCTCTTATACACATCTAGATGTGTATAAGAGACAGGGATACAAGTATGTGAGGGGAGGGGGAGGGGGGGAAGGGAGGTGAGATCCTTGTACATGGACAAGTTCCTCACCATAACATGATCAATGGAGAAGATGCATTCAATCTTATACTTACATGGACGATATTTATGCATGCAATCAATCAATCATGACTCCTATGTAACCGGGTGAACTCGCTGAACGCACATTCACATTCAAAAGCGCGCATTCATACCCCCCGGGGGCGCGTTCACTGGTGTTCAAACGCGCTGCGCACCACGTGGCACGAAAAAAATGAACGCGCCCCTGGGGGGCGTGTGCGCGCGTGGCGGACTACGGGGTGGTGGGCCTCGTTCAGCAAACCCCGAAAGTGCAAAAAAAGACCCCCCAGGAGGCCTACCCCCCTACCGCGTCACACCCCGCCATATCAGGCCCATATGTCAAGAGTCCTTTTTTTTTCTGGGGGGGTGGGGGAATCCCTCCTAACACAGCTCAGACAGCCCATGCAGGCCATCTGAAGGGTCGTCGCAGCCCTACAGCGCAGACCCCACCACCAAAATCAAGGTAGGCAGTGAACATGGCACACAGCACGAGCTGGCCGAATATATACTCAATATTCGAATTCAGGTCTGTGTTCCAGCAGTTATGGGTTGCTTACGTAGCTAGGCCCTGCACTTGATTCTCGGGGCTTGGCTGCACTACTCACCAAATGTGCAAAGCCAGAATGAATCTTCTGCAGAACATGGAATAATACGGCGCCATATGTTTGTCTTTTGTGCATGTGCTGAGTACAGGCCCTTAGGGCCACTGCACGTATTCCTAAGAAAAGCAAAACGAGAAAAAAAGAAAAAGAGAAAAAAGAAAAACGAGAAAAAAGAAAAACAAAAAAGAAAAAAAACGAGAGATTTTTCTCGTTTTTCTTTTCTTAGGAATATGTGCAGTGGCCCTAAGGGCCTCTACTCAGCACATGCACAAAAGACAAAACATATGGCGGCGTATTATTCCATGTTCTGCAGAAGATTCATTCTAGCTTTGCACAT